AAAGGCGGCCCCGCGCGGGCCCTGCTGGGGCGCCGAGCACCCGCGGCCTTCGGGCGTCTCCGCAGCTCCCGCCCTTAATTTCCTCCTTCTTTAATTTTTCTGATTGGGGTGTAACCGTCACTGATGTGGGGGACAGCTATTTGATAGCAGAAAGTTGGCATTTAGCAGGCGGGTATTGGAGGGGTGCAGCAGAGTGGCTGAGGGATGCCTTTGGAGAAGGATCTCCATGTAGAGCCAGTGTTCTTCCAACCAGTCAGGGAACGATGGTGTTGTTTTTACACAGGAATGCAGCAAGAGATTCATAGCAGACATGGAAACAGAGAGCAGAGTTGGCTTCTAGAAAAATACTTTGAGCAAAGGAGGTCATTTAACTATCAGAAATAAGATGACTGGATCACAAAACTTTAAATGGCTGCTTGTGCTAATGACCTGGTATAAACCCAGGATGGTAGAGATAGCAGGAGAGTTCAATTTTCTTTAACTTGTGTCTGTGTTTTGAACATAGAATTTTTAACAGAGTGCAACAGCTTTTGCACAGAGAGCTTTTTGCAAAAAAAACTTGGATCTTGCTCTCCGTTATCCGTATTTATGCTTGCCGGGATTACTGAGCAGTGACACCTTGCACAGCTCTCCCGCGAGGCCTGGTGATGACATTTTTGTAAGACAACCTGCTCAGAGACTCAAGGAGCTCAGAATAGTGATCCATTTCTGAACAAATATGAAAAGTTTTAGATCATAGCTGGAGCCACTTGTAATAAAACTGGCATCCATCCAGAAATGAGGATTAGGCCAGCCTCTCTCTTTAAAAATTGCTTTTTTTAGTTTCTAAGGTAATAGGAGTTTTGTTTAAAGAAATAAAACAGAGAAAAACAATAAAGCACCCCAGCATTTATTATATAGTGAAAGCCTTGTACCAAAGATACGATACAGTAGAATCCCTGAGTCTGGCTTCTCGACCATATCAACACCATCTTCTTGCCTGAATTTAAAGCTTTTATTTTTCATGATATCACTGGCACAAACATTGTCCTGTAACCACAGGTCTCTAACTGCTTGTCTTGCTGCCTATATAGCCATTTATTCTAGTATAAAGGTTAAATTAAAAAATAAATGAAAGCAACTGATTCATGAGTGTACTCTAGCAAAAATGCAAATCCTCAAGCCTGATGGGGACATCGCTGAAGATGAGCAGGTAACCAAGTGAGAAAACACCAACTGCTGGCTTAGTCTTATTTATGAGAAGAAATCTCTTGCAGCAGTTCACTAGAAGCCTTTACACGGCACACAGCAGGACTGCCCATCTAAAAAAGACTTTTCTTCCTCGCTCTGTAGCCTGATCTGAGATCTCTGCAAGGAGATCTCAGTCAAAAGGTCCATTTTTAGCCTGGTTTCCTATGGAAAAAAAAAAAAAAAGGCTTATGCAATTACACCGTCTGTCAGTGTTTGTCTGTGAGTCCCCTTTCTTCACCCCTTTCCTTGCCAAAAAAAAAAAAAAGCTGTTTAAGCCATTGCCCAGTTTCATCATTTTTTTTTACAAAGAGACAGAGGTTTCAAAGGTAACTTCTGTGAAAATCAAGGCAAAGTCAATGAAAGAGACCGTAATAATGCTGTTACTGATAAAACAGCAACCACGTGCATGCACTGTGTAATGTACATTACAGAATCCACACGGGGAGCAGGGGCAGGGGGTGCCACATCAGGACGAGTCCATAGAAAACCAGGCTTCACTTGTTCTGCTGATCAGAAAAAATATATATTTGTTATAATCACATTAGTTCATCCCTTAACAGGGAGAAGACTACAGTAAATGACTCAGTACTCAAAGGAAAATCAATGACAGTGGAATATCAAAGGGAAGAGGCTCCAGTGAAGACTTCAATTGCCGTTAGCAGACAATGAGCAGAGAGCTGCATGCAGTCCCCAGCAGCTCATTAATAACACTCTATTTGGGGCCCCATCCCAAGCTAGATAAAAAAGACCAAATTACATTTTAAAGTCATTTTCACTCCTAATGTGGTTGCTTTTCCTTGTGTCAGTCCTAGCAAGCCCATAACTACATATTCAAATAAGTCACTTTTGGATAGGATTTGTTTTAACAGGGTTGATGACAGGGAGACCACTTCCTTCATCGATAGCTCAGAACAAGGTTGGTTTAAATAAATTGTGCAGTCGTGTGCTAGACATGGAGTTTTACACTGCAAAAGTATGGATGGAAGGTTCACCTTTGGAAAAGGCAAGCCCACTTCCCTCTCCTGCCTCACTTCCGCAAATACCGGTGCCAGTTTGATTCCAGGAATTAAGCAAGCAAAAAGCTAACACAGCAGAAAAATGAGAGCGCTTTCTTCTGGTTTAACTCCTTCACCAGAGAGCCAGATCTCAGCCAAACTACAGTCTAAGCCAAAAGATGAATCAGCTGTAGCTCACTGCAGTGATCTACCAGAGACTGCAGGTTTTGTAGAAAATCTGAAACAATAGTTCTTAGAGATGTGAACAGCTGGACTGATCCTACAAGGATGACTGGTATTAACATTCATCAGCATCAATGTATTTCTGTGTTAATTACCAACTGTGTCATTGCATGTGTAAGAGCAGAAAGGAATCTCACAGCTCAGTGTCTTGAAGAGCTGCTCAAGTCACCTCAGTTCCAGGCAATGCAGTAAAATGGCCTGACATTTCATGGCTGCTGAGAGAAGGGGACATGCCCCATCTGCCCAACCTCTGCTCCTGGCTGTGCGCTCCTGTTTAGCCTATGCTCGTTGGACTGCTCTGTGAGACAGCTGAACTCAGTAAAATGGTGGAGAAACAGGTCCAATGAGTAGCAGCATCATTACAAAGAAAAGGACAGGGATGCATAGCTGGGATAAATAAAGCCTCCTTCGTTAAGCAGCCACATGTCATCAGATTGGTTCGGGTGCATGATAAAACTGCAGCTTTAGCTGAACGTCCCCAGGGGTGATGTCTGAGAGAACACTGCTTTTTCCTCCCACCTCTATGGTCTGTGAAATAACTAAAAGGAATAAAGTCCAGAAACCACCTAATTTCCACTATGAGGAATCAACTCCACAACCAAAATTAATTTAAAGATATGACAAAAATACGACACTATCTTCTTGGCTCACCTTCCTCTTACTTTTGACTATTTCCCCTAAAAAATCAAACGTTAAAAAAAAGAAACAGCCTTGACCCACCCCACTTTCTTCTCCCATGTCTATCTCTATATCTCATCTCCAGACCTTACTACCAATGTCTGAGCTTCTTCTCCATTTTTGATTTGCCTGTATCAAACTTATTCAAAGGTTCAATGGAGCTCAGAATGTGTTTAAACCTCATCAACTTTAACCAGACATAGCCAATTGTGTTTCACTTAAAATCTTTTTACCTATTTGAGCCTTCCTTTTAAGTGTTCTGTGACAGTTTCTCCTCATGCTGTCTCACAGAGCTGTATCCTTGGTCTTCTTCTATCCTCCCACGTCTCTCTGAGTTACCTCATCTCAAATACAAATACAACTACCATCTCTGCAGATGATTCACAGATCTGCTCCTTTCCCCAGAGATATCTCCTTATATCCCAACTAAAATCACAGCATTTCTTTCTCTTCCGTGGATGACTAGCAGGAATCTAAAGCTCAGTGGAACTAGAACATGGCTCTTTCTCTTCCCCAAAAGTCTTTCTTACTGTCTTCTTTGTTGGTATCTGTGGGTAACATCACCAATTTAGCTGCTGCTGAAGGTTTTATGTCAACTGTCATCTCTGACTGGGACCTCCCTATAGATCCTAGCATCCAGAATATGCCTAAATCTTACAGATTTCTGTAATTTTCTGTGCAATCCAAATTCCCTTTTATCCATCCTTACAAATAAGGACCTTGCTTAGGTCTTTTGTTTCCATACTTAGACTGCTGCAACACCTTTCCCTCCAGCATCAACTCACGCAGCTTGTAACACAGCAGCCATTAACTGCTGTAAATGCCACGATTTGACAATACAGTAAAGCTGGCTGTAGGGCTCCTATTAATGACCAAATATGCCACAGCCACCAGATACAAACCACTAATGCAATATTAATTCACTCTGCCAACTCAAATTTGTTCAGAAAAATATGTTGATAGGATTACTTTGTACCAGCAGACATTAATGCCTGATCAGGTTTTGTCAGTCTTTTCAGAGCAAGAACATGAACTCTGTAGCATGGTCACAAGCATACGTGAGAGCAATGTGGGAGCATGACCCCACCTGATCCAGATCAGCTTAGTAGTGCTGGGAAATTTGGCTATGCACAAACCTGGAATTACTGGCAGTTAAGGCACTGAATGTTTATCTAGATCTTTACTCTGACAATACTTGCTCATCTGAATTTCCAGGAGCCTCTGAAGAGTCACCTCCCTATCCATTACCTTCCATTTTGTTGTCAGGTGTTGACTCCTCCCCTCTACTGCCCACTTGTCTCTTTTTCAATCAAAACATCTTTGCACTTTATTCCATGCTGCTTTTGAGGTGGGAGGAGAGACTATATACATCCTACAGAATTAAGTTGCTTGATCGTAGGTAAAAACAGACTCAAACTCTCTCTGCTTGGTCTCCAGCGTGGCCAGATTCAATCTAGTTTGAGCTGTAAGGATCAAGTGGTCTCAATACAACATCCTGCGTGGTAATATGTCCAACAAAATATTAACTTGATGAAGTCCAGTGGGTTTGACTAAGTTCTGACCATATCTCAGCTCCCCTCCTTTCTGTTAAAGTAGAAAAAAAATACATCAGAGATGCTACTTCAGCATGACTCAGACCTCCACCCTATGTGTTCTCATGAGTCTACAGTGCTCAGGCACTAACACATAAAATGTTACTTTCAAAAGAAACATTACCTGTATAGGTCATGATGACTTTATTATGTCAAACAAAATAATTCAAAAAAAAAATTGAACAAAATTCAACAAAAGAATCAGAGAGAAAAAAATACCTACCAGCATATTTTAATTACATGGTCATGCAAGACATCACTGTGTTTAGCAGATTAGGTCTACAGCTGCTATTACTTATTCTTCAAATTATGACAGCATGGTGTCTTCTTTCTCACTGCTTACAAATACACATTTGATTTCCTGATAAAGAAAAAAAAAAGGTATTTTTTTCCCGAAAATCTTCGCACTTTAGGTCAAAAAATATATTTATCCCTGTTTGTCCATAGTATCCCTCTTTGTCTAAGTATCCGGCTTTCCTTGAGACTGAATCCTGAACTTGGAGAAAAAGTACCAGAGATTTTGTGTTGACCTTCAAATGAAAGGTTCTTATACCTATTTAATTGGAATACTGAAACCAAAAACATCCAACAAAAACTATACTTTGGGAAATAGGAGAAAAAGTAGTATATGTGACAGACGCATTACATACTGTATTTCTGGAAGACCTTTGGATCATATAGAGATGTAAGGTGCATGAAAACTTATAGAAGAAAGGAATACAAACTGATGGTATCAGTTTGGAGTCGACAGGTAGAAAACCATAATGCCACTTTTACCTATTCTGGGAACTGTAAAAGCGAGTAACAGATTCTGGTGTAGTTATAATGGTGCAGAATTTCACAGCATGCAAGCACAAGAGCTATAAATTGTGATTTGTACCAGGGCAATTTACCAGCGTCTGGTAAGCTAGGGCAATAAACACAAATCATGACTGATAGGAGTTTTGCCTTTCTAGACTGAGGCTTCGTAGAGTGTTATATAGCAATGGCTGGCCACGGATAGCTCTAACCAGAGCAAATTTCTTACAGAGCCCACATGCAGGAAAGATTAAGTGTTCCTGGTTTTCTCTTTAATATTGACGCTGTTAATTATCATTCTAATAAAAAACAGACAGTTAATGGACTGTGGCTGGATATTCCTCTCAAATTAATATTACACCTCCAATTAACTTTTAAGTTCTGGTATTTACTCATAATCATACAACATAAAAAAATATATATATAAAAATAATGTTCGGTTCCAGTTTTTATTCTTATTAATACTGAAAAGAGTTTTTGTTGTTGTTATATATTGAAAGTAAAGTAATAGTGTTGCAAACAAGCATCATTTACGGGATTTTGTGGTCTTTCTATAAACCTCATCTGAGAGGAACCCCAAAGTGATTGACTGTCTATACGGAAAGCATTTCAGTGCCTGCTGAAAAGCAGCAGTTTAACAGTGCCGAGACTGCCAGCACGCCAGGGTTTATGTCAGGGAGGCTCAAAAGAGAGGCCTGCGGCGAGCGTCTTGGGGCCGTAACCCTCAACCGGTGTGGTCCCACATAGCCAAGGCCTCTGCGGGCCACCAGGCTGATTCCGCAGCTCCTGAACCTTGTTTACAACACAGTTTTCCTATGTTTTACCAGAGGCAGTTAATGGGGAACTGGAGATTTACAAGCTTTGCGCCGAGGTCCCAGCACTGTGGACCAGACAAGAGGGGCCACCACGAGCCAGCTGCCCGTGCAGGTAGGGGAAGAGTGAGAAATTTAAATAAATAAATAAATAAATTTGAGAGTGCCTTGAGGAAAGTCTATTAATGGAAGAATAAATAAATAAATATACACTCCAGAGATGCGGTACGTGGGGATTTCGCAGGGACGGCCCCGCCGTGCTGCTGGGCTCCATCCCAAGGCGGCAGCCCGAC